GTCTTCTCATGGCTTCTCTCATTTCTCTGTTATTCTTCTGTGCTACAGTGCTGATGTATATATGTGCTAAATATATTAGAAAGAAAATTGGAATTTCAGTAAATGTGAGCTCTTTTGGTAAATTTTAGTTCATTTGATGACAGATCGAAGCAAAATGAAGATATAGTAAGTAAAATGGATGGGAATTTCATGATACAATTATTATATATTTGAAAAATGATTTTCATTAGCCTTTGCCCTAAAAAGGCAAAAATCACTACATATCAACATGTACTAACAGTGCGGTGTATCTGTGTTGTGTTTTCTGGTTTTTTTTTTGTTGGAAAATTTTCAATTATCAGCCCAGCATCACACATCATATTCTATCAGGATCATCTAACCTCTTCCCTTCTGTTTCCTCTAATGCTCAGAGATAATAGTCTCCAGATGCCACTTCCTTGTTGTAATGTTGATGAATAGTTAGGATCAGGCTGTTTGTAGTTAATTATTCTGCACTAGCCAGGTGTAGTTGGTATTTCCACACATTAGCACTTCATCATGTCTCAGGCATCAACCTAGAGCTGTGCAGAGAGTGTAGATCTCCTCGAGGGGAGAAGAAAACATCGTGACAAAATTCCACAATTACACAGCAGATGTCTTTGAATCCTTGCTGAAGGTATGGCTGCGCTGGAGTTTTCCAAAAACAGATTAGCACAAAATGACAGAGGTAATTAGGTGTCCAGCCTGCACCATCTAGGCAGAATTGCTCTGTTTCTGATGATAAATAACTGCTTGGGAACCTGACTTCTTTGTGCTGCAAAACTGTAAGTTGAAGGATGAAGGAAATGAGGTACAAATACATTCCCATGCCTTGATTATTCATACCCAGTTATTCAGATTTTTTTCTGTGATGTCTGTTTCTGTGATTCACAGACTTGGTTTCATTATAGGGAAGGAGTATGGCTTGCTATGAGTTTTTGAATTTTAGAATTCATCTAGTACTGTGGTTTTATGTTTCTGGATGCACAAAGAGTTGTTGCCTTCCTGGGAAAACGTGTGCCCTTTCCCTTATTGCATTCCTTGCTCCCTTCAGAATTAAAATGACCCCAATGTGCCCATGCATGTGCAAGGAGCCTGCTCAGAGCTTCATTCTTGCTGTGCAGTGCAGGTGGATGAGTTATCAGGTACTGACTAAGCCTTCTCCCTCACTGGAGACCCTTCTTCCCATTCTCTCTGTGCTGTCTCCTGCAATCCCTTTGATTTCCCTTGACCAAAATCGGCAGCTTTGATAGGAAAATGGTGCAAAGTGGCACTGCCACTGTGGGATTTAATGGTTTCTATTTTACTGCACACGGTAATGTGCTAATGTATGACAGTTGTTCCTTCTTCTACTCTTCCTCTCCTGCTGCAGAACAACTCCCAACCTCTTTTATATGCTTCAAGTGGAGACATGCCATCTATCCTTTGAATCCTAATAAATTTGAAGTAACCCAAGCTAAATGTAACATTATCACTCAGAATACGGAATTCCTTTTTCCCCAGGCACCTTCTGTTGGAAAAAGTATAAAGTTGCAGCAGTATGCCAGTGCACATCTCATGTTGAGGGACATAAGGCAAAGCAATAGAAATTGTAATGCAGCAGAAATGTGAGTGGTACAGGGCACTGTTCATCTGTCAAGTTCTGAATATTTTTTTTCAAAACTATTTTAGAATTAAATTTGAATATCGAAGGGGATAAATTTGAGGATTAGGGTCACAGAACTTATTGTACTCTCTATACATTCTGCATTACATGGCAGAGTACATTTTTAAAAGTCGGGCAGATTGGCAGATGGAGGCATTCTGATAAATAAAATTTGAGAAAAACTTTTATAGACTTCTGTATGCTGCTAAGCAAGTGTTGTCTTTGCTTCCAAATTAGCAGTACATACGAACTGCTTTCCTAACACAGGAATTGCTTAGGTACAAATGCACCAACATGCTTGTCTCAAACTATTTATTAACTGCACAGTATAGCTCAATAATATCAAAGCTCCTTAAAATCTATTCCATTTGCATGCAGAGTAGTATAAAACAAAATCACATCTTTGAAACTTGAGGCTGATTCTTTATTTTTTTTTAATCAGCCCCTATTCAGAAAGCAGTAGCATAATGTAAGGAGAGACTTGGGACATTTCAACAACTCTAGTTTTGAAGATGATCTCTCACAAGCTCAGTCTTTCAAGTGTCAGTATAAGTGCTCTTCATTTTTCTCAAAGGTAAATATCAAAGATATTATTCCATTCTAAGTCAAAGTGGATGTTGAATGTAGTTTTTGGACTAATTGTGAAACACTGCTATGCCATTGAGAAACATTGCTTTTCTAAATAGCCATTTCATTGTCACATTATAAGATGTTAATGAGAAGCAAATCAGTTTTCTCATCCAGTTGTCCCAGAAAGCTTTCCAAAGCCAGAAGGTGAGCTAATCCCCTGTCCAGTGTGTGCAATGTTAGCTCCTTAAATATCTGTAGAAGGGACTGAGTAGAAGACAAATCCACTGTTCTATACGTTATGGTAAAAATATGCGAGTTATTAAAGACTTCAGCACTGGGAATCCTTCCAGACCACATCATGCAAGTGAAAGGGATATCTGTTTGCTCCTGCAGAAACCTGATGAAAGGAGTAGGTGGGTTACAATGTCCGTTTGATGAGTGATACCCCTTTTCAAACTCTTGCTGCTTTTGCTTTCAAACTTGAGTCCTGTAACCAGCATGTAGATCCTGACTTGAATTGCCAAGACACCAAACTTTGCTCAAATCATCTTAATCTACCTCTTGGAAAGATAAAAAGGGCCATGTAGTGCTTGTACAGTCTCATCACTATTGTCTATGATCCCTTGAACAGCAGTGATTTCTTTTTGAGCAGGATTTTGAGTTGAATTTTACTTCCAGGTCAAGATTTTCTCCTCCTTGATTAAAAAGTGTTATCATGGAAAGGGGTTGCTTGTTTTCTGATACATTTGGGTAATTAATATTTCAGTCCAGCATCTTCTTTGGAGGGTGAATTAGGTTAATTGCCTAAGAACTATACAGCACAGATATGTGCTACCCTTTGACAGTACTCCTTGCCTCTCCTACCGTGGAAGGGAATCTTTAGGGTTCAGGAGTTCAGGAGTTGTTAACCTAAAATACTTAGGGGATATATCTGGGATTAAGCTTCTCTCTCTCGATTGATAACCGGTCCAAGAACTGACAAAACAGATTTTTTTTCACAGCTTTGAGAAGCCTGACTAACTCACGGGAGTTGAACCTACAACCTAGCGATTAGAGTGCTGACTGAATGCGAAAATAACATAAATCCACTGGTCATTGAGAAGACAGCAGAATAAATAGCGGCAATTACAAAGACCTGATCACAAGTTTTACGATTTGTGGTTGTGATTTAGAATAAGTGGCCTTTTGTTCAGTCTTATTTGCTGTTATCCAAAAAGGAGGAACAAACACAGACTAATCTGTTTGAGGATGTTTCCTTTTTTGTTTGTTTATATTGTTTTTTTGCAGGGTATTAAATAGCCAGTGAGTCCAAATTAATTTTCAGAGATGACACAAATCCTGACACCACCTCTCCCAACTTCTTGTTTTTGTTTTGTTTTATTTTGTTTTTTTTTAATTTTGAGACCTCTGCAATAAGAAATTTTCATCAAGTTCCAAATCATACGTAATCTTGGTAGTAGATCAGGTTCCTTATCCATTTTTCTGACAGAATCATTGTTCTGCAGAAATTTCCTTTGGCAATGGCAGCAGCTGTTCCTGTGGGTGCTGAGAATGCCTTGGAGTGTGCAGGCAGGTCTCAGAGCTGACCTGGAAGGGCAGGCAGTGAAGGAGGTTCCTTCCAAACCCGCCTGGATGCCGCCCTGTGCCACGTGCTCTAGGAGTCCCTGCTGGAGCACGAGGGATGGACTAGTTGATGTCTAGAGGTCCCTTCCACCCTCGACCATTCTGGGATTCTGTGTCTCATCCAGCAGTTCTGAAGTGGGTCTCTGATGTCAGTGGGGCTCCCAGCCCTACTTGCCTCCCGTGGGCTTCGTGGAGGGAGCAGAGGCTCCTTGCAGCAAGTCTCCAGTTTAGTTGTCTGCTCTTAGACGAGAGGATGTCTTCCTCCTGGTCGATTCAAAAGCCAGGAGACATTTGTCTCTGACCAAAAAAGAAAATAAAAAAAAAGAAAATAAAGTATCTTTAAACTGTAGTGGTTAATAAAGCTTAGCATTTTTCTTTAATTTCTGGTTGATGAGGGAGATAAAAACAGCTGTTTTGTGCTTGTGATAATTTGCTTCCTATTCCTTAGAGTAGTGCCTTTGAATTTATTTTGTCAGCATTAAAAATTTAGGTCTGACCTGCCTATGCTTGCTGAGACCTCCAGAATTATAAGAAAGTTATTCCTGACTTGTCTGTTTTATTTAAAGTCAACTTTGAGGCGCTGCCCTTCCTCACCAGCATTATAATGGAGATTTGGCATGTATCTACCTTTCCAAACTGTGAATGGGTCAAACTTTTCAGCTCCAAAACAGAACACCTAATATTTTGATAGCACCTTACATTACAAGGTGATCAATCAATAATGGATTTTTTTTTCTGAAATTTGGTTGTCCAAAGGGTATTGACCTGTGAAATAGCCTGTTAAATACATCTGTTGTACACAGTATTTGTGTCATGGGTTTAATGCAGGCAGGAATCTTACAGGCCTGGGATAACGTCTCGCCTATAGCAGAGTAAGGCACCAGCTATAATGCAGAATGTTTTTATTTTTGTCTGTTTACTGTCAAATGGACTGTCAAAAGCCGTTCTGTGCAGAGCTCGGGTTTCTGTGGTGAACTATATTCATTAGATAATACATACAAAGCTCCTAAACTCTGACTCTTCTGTTGCTTGTCGGGGATTTTCTTTTGATGCGCTGTAGCAGAAGCAGAACTTAGCACCAATAAATACTGAATGACACTAAGAACAATCTTACCTGGCACGTTTGTGTTCTCTTTCTTACCAGAGACTGGCTCTGCAATTACTGCTTCCTGCATTGGTCTGGGGAATTCTACCTCGCCTCCACCCGGGCAGGCAGGAAAACCAGTCCCAGGATACAACGGTAAGGCTGTGTTAAATGTGCTTTTAGAAAGGAAATTACTTATATTCTTGAGTAAGCACTCTTTAATTTACATACCTTGTGGAGAAAGTACATTATAGTCTTATTAACCAATTTTCCTCTTCCTGTAACAGGATGTGCTGCCTTTTTTGTGCGTTGTGAGGTATGACTATGCTTAAGAAAAGCAGAATTAAACTCAGTATGAGTGATCAACTACTCTTACCTTTATTACATTAGAGGGCTAGCAATTAATTCTACAGTGTATATAGCAGGTATGAAAAAGCACAGTGCTTTAAGGCCTTATCTACATTTACACACATGTAACGTTAAATGAGAAGCAGCAGTAAAAAGGTATGTTGGCAAATTAGGAAGAAAAATGTTAATCATCAACAGCAGAGAGATGATAGCCAGACACATAAATGCAATAAATTGCACTTTTAGTGTGTTCTGTCATGGCTGTACTTTCAGAGCTGAAATAGTTGTGGTTTTGGCAATGTAGCTGTATACTTCTCAGTTTCAGAGACACCCTGGTTAGATTTTCTTTTGGAGCTACATGTTTATATAAGAAGTATCCTGAAGCTCATAAAGAGAATTCTTACTAAAATCAATCTTTGTCTTCAGAAATAACGTCAAGTGAGCTAAAAGGCAACCTGGCAAGAATAAAACCTTCTGTTTGAACCCATCTCACATTGCATTCCTTTTTTAAAATCAAAGCCATTTTGCCTTTATGTTTAGGTACATAGGCTCATATTTAAAAGAGCTGTTAAGCATGTGATCTTTCAGCCCTTGGAAAGCATTTTAATTTCTAGCTGGGAGAAATGGAAGGCTATGAACCAGCATGAAAAGTGAAAGCTCTTGTTGTCCGGAAGGCATTTCAATGCAGAGGGTGCAGTCAGAGGCTTAAGAACTCTAAAATGTTTTCATACCTGGAAATCCTGGTTTCAATAGAAATTTAAAGAGTTACTTGAGGTCCAAAAAATAATTGCATTTTTCAAAGGTTAAACCATCTTCAGGAAGAGTTGTCACATCCTTTGGCAGAAGGAACTTAGCTAGCTTTTCTTCTAATGAATACGAGTAGAAATGAACTTTAAAGAAAAGATCATTTTCAGCAGCTCTGGACTGTAGCACTCACAGTTACTGAATGAAGATTAAAAAATGCTCTGGAAGGAAACCATGAAGTTTGTCCTGAGTTGTATTAAATAGGAAAAAATGGAAGAATGTGACTGCATCACATAAGCTATTAGATTGCAGATAGGATTAGAAATGTATATGTGAGTATGAAAAATATTTAAAACAAAATCATATATAACATAGCCAGATTATTTGCTGTCATAATATTGCTGAAGTAAATGGATTTCTTTAATGATTTTTTAATGCATATTATAAAAGCAGTATTTAGCAATGATGTAAATTGTGTTTAAGCATGAATCAAGATACCATGTTAATTTCTAGCTCTGTTGCCTAAAGTGAGACATATATTGTACTTTCCCTTTGAGCTACTTATACCTTTTCCAGGTAATTGCAATATGTCATTCACAAAATGTAGCAAGTCCTGTGTATTGGGGATTTAAGTCAGATTTTATTCAGAATAGCAGTAACCCTCAATTTTTGTTCATTGAAATACAGCACTCACAAGAACAAATGCTAGAGTCACTACCTTTCAAAAATAGTTCCAATAATCTGTTCAGCATTATGACAAAAATAGGAAAGCTGTTGAAAAGCTAAATGTGAGTGGGTCTGTTTCAGTCTGTGTTCACTATCTAAATTCTCCTTATGTAACTTGATGTCATATTCTTATGTTATCTATAGACATGTAAGAAAAAAAAGGTGTTCACAGACTGTAATTGGATTCATTCTTACCATACTTACTCTTTTTCACAAAATTGTTTTCTAAGCTCCCATTTCTCCTTTTGACTTACATTTCCCATCCCATTTACTCCGTCCAAGTGGCTGAATTCCAGTAATGGCTCTGTGGACTCAGCTGTGTCTGTGTGCTGAGCCATTGACTTCAGCGAGTTCCTCCGTTACTTAGAAATTGCCATGCTGTCAGGAGTGGCCTCAGCCCAAAGGAGAAATTGCCCATTTCTTGGGCTGAACAGGACATGATTCTGCTCATAAGTTCATGTTGTTAAATCCACATCAGCCTGGTTTGTTCCCTCCCTGTTTTTCCATGGTGTAGTCATTTTGCTCTTGCTTAAGTCCATTTATCATAGTCTAAGTCTGTGTAGTGATACTATATTTAAGAATAGCGTAACTGTTCTATGATTCCTTCCCTATGCCCTAGATGACTTCATTGAAGAGGCTATTTCAGGTGTTTTTTCCTCAAAAATCTGCATATTCTGTATCAAGATACGATCATTTCACTGAAGGTGATGGTCAGGTCTGGATTCCACACTCTGCTCTAACTTTACCCTTCTCTGTGGCTTTGGGTAATTCCCAAGTTACTTTACCTCTTTGTGCTAGACTAGAATAACTGTGCTCAGATAGGGAACATCCTTCCTTGGTCTAGTGAGGGCTTTTGATGAACAGGCACATTTATTTACTGCTAATAATATTTCTCACATGAATTAGGTCAGCTCCCAGGGATCTTAGCTTTAAGTTCATATTTGTGTTACTTTCTGTCATATTTGTTGTGTATCTGAAAGGCCTTTGTTATTTGGAAGATTAGATTTTGCATTGTGAAGATTTTTTTTTTATTTTAGTTCTTTATTTCCCAGTATGTTTTTGTGCTATTTCTGCTTCCAAAGCATAAGTATTATAAATTTAAGGCTTGTTGTACTTATGTCTGAATATTAATAGGGTCATGAGTCTATCCAGTTGGGTGCCCCAAAAATTTTTAATTCATTTTGTTGCTTGGTGTATTACAGTTCTTAAAGATGGTATAAGTGTGTATCCGTTGGATAAAACACGATCCTCTATCTGAAAATATGCTACTTACAGACATTCTCTTCCTTTATTGCTTTTTTTACAGTGATGGTTCTGAATGAAAAGAAGGAACCAGTGAAGGCGAAAACTTTAGGAAACATTGTGGTAAAGTAAGCAAACTATCTTGTGGTTAATAAAAGCTTTATAGATCGGTTGACTATCTTTTGACCAAAATTTGTCTATCTAAGAGTAATGGAAGGAGTGAGAGCTAACCTAGCTGTCTCTTACTAGTGTCAAATGATCAGAACTTACATTCATTAATGTTAGAAAAATCCAAATGACATTTTGTAGGTAAATGGCTGTGGAGTGATAGTTTCCCCTCCAAACTACAGCGTAATTTACCATTTTCTTAATTGCCAACTGTCGTCAAAAAAAAAAAAAAACCCGAATTTTGATAAACGAGCACATTATTAGATCATTTTCTTCACCATTCTATCTTTCGGTGTAGAGAAATGGTATAGCAGTGAAGATTCACATGCTTTAGCTTGGGGGCTTGATGCTGCCTGCTCTTTCTTTGGCTCCTAATCCCAAGTGTTGCAGGGAGAACGCATGCAAAAACAGTAAGATGTCTCTGTGTGTCACTGTTCAAGTGTAGCAATACTTGGGCAAAATACATTGAAGAAAACATCCCCCCGCCTCCAAGAAAAGAAAAAAATGCTCTGCTGTAAATCCTGTAACTGATCTTTAAGAGAATTTACCGAACTCTTGCCACATGAGGTACGCAAGCTTTAGTATTCTTCTTGAAAGTGTGCACTTCTTAACACCTTTTCTTAGATAAAGGAGCCTCTGTAATCTGAACATTAATTGCATCTCTTCTTATCTTGCTTTCCACTTTATTTTTCTAGAGCCTTCCTTCCTTCTATTAAAGCTGATGGACAGCTGCTACCCATAGCATATGCCAGTGTATTCCTGCCAGTATGTGCTTGTGTATTCCAGATGTTTCACTGGATATTAGGTGATTTTTTTTTTCAACCGGATCCCTACATTGAGAGTTACACATTAGCTGCAATCTCCTGTGTTTTCAATCTTAGGAAATGCTTAAGCTGTGAACACATGCTGACTGCCAGCAAATAGAGGTCCCCAAAGAAATGCATTAATCAACTTGTTTTGGTAAAATTTGAGAGACTAGATGTAGCTCAGATAAATCATTCCTAGTGTAGATGAGGGAAAGTGAAAGGTAATGTACTGAAAGATGAGCATTAACCTTTAGTGAAATTAAATTTTGTTAAAAGCCAAAACATTGGCATAGATGTACTGATTTTGATCGGTTGTTCAAAGTCAGCTTAGCTAGGACAGAGCCATGGGAGGTAGGAGATGAGGAGCCCGTGACATCCAGGCACTGGAGAAATGCAGTTATAAGATAGGGGCTGTCCAGCTGCATGGTGCTTGCCTGGCGCTCTGAGCTGCTGAGAGCTGAAGGTTATTTGCTCACCTGCATTACTGGTCTAATGTAATGGGACTACTGTGGAGATTAAGGCAGTGTCACAGTAAGTTACTGCACTGTGTGACACAGATGTGTGCCTGTCCATGGAGGATAAAGCCTCTGCTCTGCCTGATCCTGAGCATCTGGAGCTGAGCCGCCAGCATGCCCAGGCATGTGTGCGAGTGCACACGTGTTACCTGCTCTTCCCTGAGCAAACACACCCCTCTGTAGTCACAGCTTTCCTGTGGCACCTGTGAGATGGTGCCACAATTCTGCTGTGGGGTGTGAATAATTCAGATTACTGTAGTCGTTAAGAGACTGTTGTTTGCAGTAACTGTAATCGAATGGAGGGGTGTCCTTTGAAGCGCTTGCCTCTTGGCTGTTTAACTGTTGCTCTAATGAAACTTGGGATTGTAATCAGTGGGGAGAGAAAGGCGTTTTGAAAGAAAATCGATCCAAACTGTCTTAGTGATGCAACTGGGCTGGGATAAACCAGCTTCCAGAGATGTTTATATCTCTCCATGTCTGCAGGGGGTTAGGTATCTAAAACAAGATGCTTAACATTAGCTGCCTGAAAGTTCAGTGAGATTGATGCCATCCTTAGTAGATCTCTGCCAGATGAGCTGAATTATATCTAGCAAGTAATGCTGATAGGCATGTGCTTACATTTCTGTACCTTACTGCTTGTATATTTAAGTGTCTGTAAGTAGGAGATACTGTCACATCAGGAGATCCATGTAGTGGTTGTCATCAAGCTCAAAGCCAGAATTTATCTTTGCTAATGAAGCAAATACTTTTTTAAGCATTTCTTTGTCTTAAGGGATTCCAAATATGTTTATGTATTAATTTCTGTTTGATCTTTTTGCTGCAGCCAAAGAAGTTTGAAGGGGAAAAGTGGGGGAATTTTCCAGTTTTTCACATTAGATAATTTAGGAAGAGTAATAGCTCAAGCACACTGTTATTGTTTCAATGTTTATTGTAACATAGGTTCTGAAATAGTGGGGGGAGAAAAAGAAATTAAAGTGTCTTTATAGTAGTCAACATGGAATTAATTTTGAGGTAGATTAACTGTTCCCCTCCTCCCACCTTTTTTTTTTTTTTCCCCTTCTGGTATTTTTTTAGCTTAAATTTTTGAGAGAAGAGGCCTCCTAAAATTTATTCTACAGCTTCACTGTCAAAAAAGCGAAGAATTCAGTGAGCTTCAGGAAACTAATTGTGAACTCTTTAACACTACCAATATTTGAATCTGTGGCTTGCTGAACAGAAGTTTATTTAGACTATTATAGTCCATAGTTCATTTTGTTTCGAGTTTAATTCTGGTAAGGGGCAATTTTGTGACACTTTTTAGCTGTTTTTTGGTCATAAAAGTCTGTTGCTGTTAGATTAAGCCATCACGTTTTTATCTTGCACAGTACTCAGCTCAGGCACTCTTTAACTGTGAAACTTTTTTTGTTTGTTGATGGGGCCTAGTTTTCATAACACCCTCGAGCAAAGAAAGCTTTGCTCTCTTCATTTCTTCAGCAGATACTTTATCCTTCTTGTACATGTACAGACCCCTTAAAAATAGTTGGGATGATCTTTGTTGCTAGCAGTGTTTATTTCTTACCCCCAAGGTCCTCCTCAGGCATCGTGAAGGAAATGGGTTGTCAGAATAGGTTTCACTATGCACTTAGCAGCAGAATGTGATGCATCTCTTTAGGAAAAAAAAAAAGAAAAAACAACAAAACCCACACAGGTGTTTGCTTTATCTGCAGTTTGCTAGAGCAGGCTGGAAATATTCTGCAGCATTTCCTTGAAAGGAGAGTGGCCGCAGGCTGCCTGTGATACAAGCTGTGCCGAAGTGGTATGACGTTGCTCTTGGTTATTTTTAGCCCAGTCTTACTCCTGATAAAGACAGTTGGGGCTGTTTGAGGCCTGTGGTGCTTGCAAGTGTAGAATTTGAAATATCTCTACTGGCAATGCAGTTTTAAACTTTCATTTTTATCCTGCAGGAGCCAAAGCATTTAAAGAGGCAGTTTTTACACCTACCTATTCCAGCTCCTTGCCCCCAGTATAGTCTTTTCTGTATTCACCCACCCCCGATCCCTACTTTTCTCATGTATCCCTCATCACTGCCCTCTGGAATGAGTTCACACTGAGAAAAACTCTTGCACAATCTAATTTACCTGGACAGTCCCATAATGTGTTTGACTTCACAAGTGTCACATGATAAAGAAAAAAGTACATTGTCAAAACGTATGGTTATGGTTCAAGGAAAATGAAGGCTGCTAGAGTTCATGAGGGTGGCCTAAAATTAATCTGCTTATTTCTAAATTTCCTCTTCTTTTGAGCTACAATCTTTGACATGAAAGATAATTAACAGCAAATTTATTCTGAAGGGAAAATGATAGCAGCAATGACCTCCATTTTCCATTTAGAAGAGCAGTGTGATTTAGTGACGCACTTTTGCTTGCACTCGTCTGCCCCTAATTGAAACACACATGTAAATGTGTTTGTGTGTGTAATCGTGGTTAGTGAGGAGAATATTCAAAATCATCCATTCTCCTAAGGAATATCAGCAAAGATTAAATCCTATTTAAATTCCAGTGCAGCGGGAAACTCAGTTTTGCTCATGCACATTATAGAGGTTGCAACCTATTACGTTTATTTTATGAAACTGTTGCAAGCACTACCTGGTTAGCTGACCCTGTTCTGTATATACATCCACAACAGCAAGGGGACTACATTTGACATATATTAATTCTAACCACAGGGCAGTATCTACCAGTAAATTCCTCTCTAGAGTCTCTCCAGACTGTTTTTAACTCCATATTACAGTTTCTCTAGTGTCTGTGTGGTTAATTTTGTGCCCTAATAATGGAGTATTTTGGGATAAGGATTGACAAATGAGTTCCAATCTCAATTGTACAGAATCACATAAGTACTTCAGTTGCATATTCAGAAGGAAATGAGACACTGTGGTTATATCCTACTGTGATTCTGAAATGCCTTTGTAAGTTGGAGGGGGAAACTGTTATGTTGCTTAAATCGATTTTAAGAATATTGACTGCATGAATGGCTCTACAGAGCAGAATCATGCAATGGTTGATACAGAATACTCTAAGAGTGTAAAATACTTTAAAAATATTTTTGACTTGGTTTTATAAGGAATTGATCATTATAAATTCATAGCCTTTTTAGATCTATTTTTAGATCTTAACTTTTTAGATTTTTAGATCTTTAGATTTTGTGAGGGCCTTTAAGGACAAATATCATAAAGCTGATATTCTTTAGTGGTGAAGATGATGCTCAGAAGTAAGCAGCCCATTCCCAGTTTTACTGCTTGTAATATTGTGTTGAAATCTTTACATAGTATTTACAGATGTTCAGTAGCTAGATATTCAGTAAAAAGACATTTAATATTGCTTATATGTATAAAAATAATTGGTTTGTATTTTGTTTGTTACAGAGATTGTTACAGAGAATAGTGGCTTGAAGCCAGGAATATGTACTCATTAAGATGCTCAGTACAAATAAATGCTAATCAAAATAGCTTAGAGAGAGGAAAATGGAAAGAAAAAGATGCACTCTTTCTCATTAGACCATAATACCTTAGCATCCCATTGAAGGAAATAGGTGTTACAGGATTTGATGAAGCAATATTTGGATATTTTATTTGGGGATAAACACACCAGAGAGAGCAAAGCTTTTGTTTGTGC